ACTCCATTTGAAAATTTATGTTATTTTATTAGAGCATTAACTTTATTAACTCATAAAATGTTCTGCTTTGAAAAAATAATACTTAATATACATACTTAAATGTATGTATGTATTTAAATAATTTTTAAAATTCTCAAAGGTATAAAGCAAATGTTATACAAAATTAAAGTATTCATTCATTCATTATTTTAAATATCTTATTTTATTATTATATAATCACTATCGAACAGCGGTCTTGCTAATATAATTACAATTTTTCTATTATATTATATGTATATTATATATACATAAATATAAGCATAAGAAACGTGAATCTAGGAACAATTGAAAATTTTTAATTTATCATTGAACTTGAAAAACTTAAACTATAAAAAAAAAAGTAAAATGTTTTTACTTTTTATTCTTGATTTTCTCATCTTATAAAAAAAAATTAAAATTCTATTTCAAAAATTTTTTTTCATATGAACATCGAAAAAATTTTAGAAGGTATCAAGGGGCCTTTAAATAATGCGGCATGTTGGTACTTTATACATAAGATAATATTTTTATTGTTGCTATAAGTACCTTTGTATGCAGTCCCCCAAATCCACATTCGATTTTCATGAGAAAACTTGTACTATACTCATGTGGATATACATTGTTCATATATATATATAATATATACATACATATGTACATACATAGCAAAAAATTGCTTCGCAAATTTAAAAAAAAATATGAATTCTGAAAAATATAAATTGTATATTTATTTGTACATTACAAATTCATATATATCTGCATGCAAGTAAGTACATATATAAGTACATATGTACGTATATATTCATTATTTTGTATAAAAACATAAGTAAGTACCTAAGCAATTTTTAATTTATTCATCGTATAAAATGCTTCTTCTCTCCCATAATATTAAAATAATGTTATTGCGCGTATACTAATATTTTTTTACATTGAAACCAAAAATAAAATATAAAAATCGCATGAATAGTACAGAATAATAATAGTATATATTATTATGTATATATGCATGTATATAAACTACGGGGGGAGAATAAAAGACTCCGCATATACTGGTTGACCTTGGTTTCAGTCAGTTATATGTAAAATATATAATTATACATAAATATATACAGAAGCTTTGTTATGACATCATCTCTCGAATATTTAATTCCATTTTAGGATATTATTCACTATATACAATTATATAAACATACAGTATAGTATATTTATATAAATATACTTATATAAGGCATAATACATTTACATTTAAATCATTATATTAACACTTCACGGCACATAATTAACTTCATATAGGCTGCTACTTTGAAATCGTTAGTTGAGTTTTCATTTAACATTTTGTTATAATATGAAACAGCAACTGAATACGAATACAATTATTGACTGATATTACAAAGTATGTATGGATGTATGATATTTTTTTTGCGACTATAAACTTCAATCCAATTCACATTTTCATTTTGACTTCTATATAAACGGGCTATAAACATAACTATTTATTAACTTGTTTTCAACCAGATATGACTGTTTAAATTGCTTAGATATTCTAAGAAAAGAATCTCGCAAAATCGTCAGCTATGTATGTATAATGTTGTAAATATTGTTATAATATGAATAAATATAAAACAACATGTATTATAAAGTTATATAAATAATACACATACATACAAATATATTAGTATTATATGTTTAAAAATACTTTAGATAATGCGGTTACAATATTATATATATTTGGTTTTTGATTCTCCCATTGTTATAACAAGCTATGGTCATCATTTTCTTTCTGGTTTTACAATCGAAATATACATGGTATGCATGTATGTATATCTGTAAAAGAATATAAAATATTAACCACTTTGAAATGTGTATAGCAATATAAAAATTGTAGAGTTTTTAGTAATAAAGAACAAGAAAAAAAGGGTTAAATAAAAACTAAATCAGTTTCATTGTGGTGAATTAATTTTGTATAATTTGTATGTTATGTTGAAATACAAGTTAAAAATTTGTTTTTTTTTTTATTTTTATGTTTTTCTTTTGTTTTTTTCGGTTCTATGTCATTTAACAGCAATGTTGGTCAGTCAGTTGATACTTGTTTTTAGTTCTGCTAAAAATAAAATTATAATTGCCTTTTTTTTTGCTTGTTTTTAAATTTTGAATCATCGAGATTTTAAACATATTACTTGTTAATATATGTATATACATAAGTAGGTAGGTACATGTGTACTTAAAAATGTATTATAGTCGATCGTGTATTTTTAAGGTACCTATAAAATTTTATTGAAATAGTTGTTATACAGGTACTATGCTTATGAAATATTTTTAAAGAATTAGAATTTTTCTATAACTATTATATATTAAATTCGAATTTATAAAAATTTATTTGAAATTTGTGATTTACTTAATTTTGAAGTATACGTATCTACATATATTTCAATAAGTGTATAAGGACGTTTCATCTACTACCTAAAAACACAAATTTTTAAAAATTATTCAGCTTCCTAATAAAAAATATTACTTTCAATATTTTCCCATGTTGCAGCTTATTCAATTTAATATTAAATTTAAAAGTCTGATTTTTCGAAATTCAGTAATTTTTCCATGTCGTTTTCTGAAGTGAAAACTGTTATACTATCAAAACTGTTATACCATCAAAACTGTTATACCATTTGTTGTAAAATAAATAAATTTAAAAATTGCATTTTGAATGCATAAATATACCTAAACATTTAATTTATGATTTTTTTTTCAATTAAATTAAGAAAAATTTAGTATTAGTTTGGGTTTTATTATTAATATACAAGTACAAATAAAATAATTATATATAAGTACTATAAAAGTTGTTAAACATTCATAGAGCTTCTCAGTTATTTTTTTTTTTCATACATGCAATATTATAAAATTAGATAACTATGAGATCATATTTTCATTTATTGACAGTTTAATTTGATTTGATTTTCCGCTAATAATAAAATTATTACAATTTTCTTTTATTTTTTTTCATTATACAATATGATCTTTTCTGTTTTTTTTAAATGCGGTTAAATTGCGCACTTGTATTTTACAAAAAAATATACTTATATATGCATATATGTATATCTTTGGTGGTATTTTATTATAATTTGTATAGATATACATATTTATTCATACATAAATAATAAAATATACAAATATACTAAGATGTATCAAAAACTACATTTATACATAATTCTTATTACACAAGAATTAATTATACATACATATATACACATGTATGCACATAATATTAAATGGGATTTTTGAACGTTCATATTATATTTCTAATCACGTTTGTAATGCAAAAAGTAGGCGCCATACTTAGTCTCACTATAAAAATTTTACCCTTGTACCTACATATTATAAACAATGTGTATTGTTGATTTATGTACTTGGAATAACACTTGCATTATAGCATTAACAAGAAGCATGAACAAATTTAATAACAATATCAAATTAAAGTTCAATTTTATATTCATATTTTTAATTTAATGTGAAGAATAAATTACAAATTTGAAATAGCTAATTGTAATATTTATTTTTGTAAAAGGCGCGCATCGTAAGTAGGTCAACTTGTTAAACAAAGATATTTCAATTTAGTAATTAGAAAGAAAACAAAAATTCAAAAAGTTTAACATTAAGTTTTACTAATCATTTGGTACAAAATCAAATTTCCAAACATAATTTTATATTAGTAACAAAATTTTAATGGTAATGATTAGAATTTAAGACCATTCGAACACACTGTTGCATTTATGTTCTCAAAAAATTTTTACTAATCAAACTAAAAGTTCCGTGGTCTTTTAAATTTATTGTATAACTAAATTTAAGAAATTTGTTTTTGTTAAGATTGTATAATGAATGAAACTGTTTCCATCAACAACGGCTAAAAAAATGTTATCTTTGTCAATAAAACGTTTAATTGACCTTTTATTTGGCATTCCTATTTTTTGTTTAATCCATTGACTTCAAATTTTTTTATTCATTTTATATTTTATATTGAATTGCGCCAATAATTCTTAACTGTTAAACTGATGATCCTTAATTGATGACTGTAAGAGTTTATAAAAAGTTTCCATAGAATTTTTTGTAGTTTCACATTTCATTTTTTTGTTACAAAGCAAGTCTTTTTTTACAATTTTTACGACTAAAAAACTTACGATCGAATGCTCTAAAAGACCCATTAAGTTATTAAAATTAATTTAAAATTTTTTTATATATTTTCTACTTTTCCATGTGGGTTTCTGGGACAAATTTCATGATTTAATTGTAATTAAATGTATAATTGGATTTTATGATAAACTTAAAATATTCATGTAAAATTAGTTGCAGTTTAATTTTTATTTGTCGTGATATCTTATGATGGTAGTAATTACAATTATTGCTGTTTTCTCCCCCTTTAGTAAAAATACATTTTAAAAATTCTTATTATTTGTAAGAAACATTTTTCATTTGATTATAATTGAGTTATCTGTATACAAATTTGTAAAAATATGTAGATGGTTATATAAAGATCACACATTGTTACACAAACATGCTTTTACATAAATTAGTTCATTGAAAAGGCATTTCTATACTTAAATGTTCTTTTTGTATTTTAGAAATGTTGTTTTTATTTCTTCTTGATTTTATTATTTAATATTTTGAATGTTTTGAAAATGCCTTAGAGTGTATATAGTTGTTTAAGCCATATAAGTATGACTTTATGTTACTGGAATGTAGTAAATTTTATATTATTTATAATTGCTTAAATATTTATTCAATGCATTCTTTATAGTTGCATACACCACCAATTTTGAAAAATTTAATTTCTTAATTAAATTAAATTCACTCCATTAATGTTATTTGATTTTATTACGCTGTTAAACAGTTAGAATGTTATTTAATTTTTATACCACAGTTCTAGTATAACAAATATTTTCTGTGTATGAATAATTGAATTTAATTTTTTTTCTCTTTTTCTATGAATATAGCATCTTTGAAGAATTTTGGTGATAAGACCGCTAATTTATTCCATCGTAAGAAGGATGATGCTGAAAAATTGGCCCAACAAAAAGCTACTGATGCACAAAAAATGGCTGAAGATCAAGCAAATAAAGTAGGGCAAGCTATAAATCAAACTAAATCTGATGCTGAAAATTTGGCTTCTAGCACAGGTATAATTATTAATATATATTAATTACATTTATTGTTTTCTTATATTTAACAATAAGTATGCAAATAACAATTGATTTTGTATAATTTTAGCCCGTGATGCCGCATCTATGGCAAATGAAGAAGCTAATAGAGCTGGTCAAGCAATTAATTCATCAATTAATTCAGCTCAATCAACAATTAATCAAACAAGAAATCAAATTGATTCAACTGTTCAACAAGCGAATGCTGCTGCAGCAAATGCTAAGAATATTGCACAAAATGTTGCTGATTCATCAAAACAAGTATGATTTCAAAAACAAATTTGTTTACTAAAATTATAATATTATGTTTCATAAACTCTGTTATATACAAACTCTAGAGAATTTTTTTTTAAATATATAAAATATATGCTTATTTTAATTGGTTTTTATTTTTGTATTTTAGGCAGCTGCAAATGCTGTAGATCAAACGAAAAAAGCCGCTAACGATGCTATTAATAAGAGTGTTAAAGCTGCTGAACAAGTTGCAGATCAAAAATTAAAAGAAGCCGAGCATGCTATTGATCATACTATGAAACAAACAAGCCAAGCTGTTGATCAAAAACTAAATGAAGCTAATAGATATGTCGATACAAAACGTCAAGAAACTGAAAAAGTATTAAATTTAATTTCAATATACAAAATAATATTCTAAAAGAAAAATATTATTTAATTTTAGTCAATTCATGATACAGCTGCTAAAGCTCAGGAATCAGCTAATAATCAAGCAGCAAGCCTTTTAGGAAAACTTAATCTTGGAAAATAAACACACCATTTTCTAATTTACATTATATACTTTTAATATTGTTTTATATATTATATACATTTTTTTTTAAATTATTATTTAAGATGATTTTAATTAATTAAGAAAAAAAAAAACAAAATAAATGCAAAAATGAAAAATTAAAAAAAAATTTAAAAATAAAATTAATTAAAAAAAATTATGAATACGAAAAAAAAAAATACAAAATAGCACTCAAGTTTAAATCAAAAAAAAAAAATATTTCAACGTCCAATTCATAAAATGAGAAAAGTAACAATTTAAAACTTAAAAATAAAACATACACATACAAAATTTATATAACATGCATACAAAATTAAGCCTTAAATTAAATGCCTTAAATTAGTGTCAGCTTTTAAAAACAAAAAATTTAAAGCATACTATAATAGAAAGTAGCTATCAGTTTAATAAAGAAAATTTGTATAACAGTTTTATAGGCAGCAGCACAGCAGGTTTAAAGTAAACTTTGATGAAATAGTAGCAAATTTATACTTTCTTATATGTTATAAAAAATATTTAATAAATACTGTATAAAAAATTTTATACACATAAAAATTAGAATTCGATGTTTTTTGATCAATGAACAAAATTTATAATAGACATGTATAACAAAATTGTTATAAAGATCAAATTTGAATAATCAACAATTATTTATATTTGATTTTTTACTGAAATGAAGATCACAATTTCATTTGGATTTGAAATTATGCATCCATTTCGGATGAAACTAGGATATAAAGAATTGTTGATCATATTGGTTTTTAGAATGTTCAACTAAACAGATTTTGTAGAAATATAGGCATTTTATATGATTTGTAAAATTATGATGTGCAAAACATAAATTACAAAATTAATGTTATTCTTAGTTTTCTGTATAAAATTCTTTTAATATTCAAGAAGATATAATTTTTTTAAATTAATGTGTCTTTTTGTCCACAATATTTTTCTGAAAAATGCCGAAGAATTTGCTAAAAATATGCCATGTACTCTGTCAATTTGGTAGATGCGTTCAGAGCTCCATATTAAAAGATAATAAAAAAAAAGTTGGTGTTGTTAAAATTATTTTATCGGTATCACTTTTCCGTATGTGATTTCAATTAAAAGTTATAGTAATCTTCGTTCGTTTTGAATCTCACAAATTCTTGAATATGATTTTTAACTGTTTAGTCAACGTAAATATAAGGAAGTTAACACATAAGGTGTTATTTCTATTTTCTTTTAAAAATATTGTCAAATATTATTATGTTATTCTATTACAAAATAAATATATTTAATGTTTTCATTTTTAAAATAAAAAAAACTATTGTTGACTTTTACTGTATGTCAATTGTTTAATGAAAAAAGAATTATGCACACAATTATATTTTTACATATTACATATGTTTTATGATATTATTTTCTCATTTAAATATTTTTTATTGAAAAAGAAAAGAAACAAAATTGAAATGTTATGTAGATTATAAATTATAAAAATAATTGTAAAATAAAAAAAAAAAATTAAAATTATAAATGTTAAAAAATAAAATTATGGTGGTTACCATATACAAAAAAAAATATATAAAAATAAGAAAAAGAAAAACCCCAACGACCATAGTTTTTATTTTTCGGAAAATTGCATATAGTTAGGGGCAAAAAATCTGCTCCAGCTGGATAATTTTAATAACTTCAGATGCCAAATTGGGTCTAGGTTTCGAAAATATTTTTTTCAAATTTTTAAATTGCACCCAATCTGAGAAAAATGCATTTAAAAATTTCAAACCATATAGGTACCATTTCTTACAAAAATTGGCAAAAATAAAAAACCTATCAATTTTCTTTACCAAGAAAAGTTTCGAAAAAAAATTTTTGATTACTAGATTTTTTTTTGTTTTTCGTAATACAAAATTTTAATTTTTTTTTTCAAAAATTTAAAATTTTTTAAAATCAATTTTTCTTTTTCAAATTAAAAAGTTTGTATAAAATTTTCGTTTCAATTCCATTTTTATTTGTTCATTTCAATAAAAACAATAAAATTCAGATTTTGTAAAAAAATAACGGTTCTTAAAAATGTCAACTGTTTTTTCGAGTGATTCTTGTCATCCAAAATTAATGAAAGTTGATAATCACAGCGTTTAAAATAAGTAAAAAGCAAAAATAGTGAAAACTAGGGCCTTTAAAATCTTGAAATAGAAATTATTTTTTGTGCAACATCTTCTGTACCATAAATTTTTTTTTAATGTTTGAGGACTTAAAGTAAAGCTTAAACAGCTGGGCAAAATTCTATAAAAAAAAATTTCAAGGTTTTAAAAAGTTTCTATTTAGAAAAAAATGAAAAAATAAAACAAGGGAAAAATTTGATTTTGCCTAAAGTCCGAATGCTTTGTATTGCGAAGATACATGAAATATAGAATCAAGCAACATGTTTATTTTAAGCCCTTTACTAGACCTTTGAAAAACTGTTTGTTTGAAGTTCCTACCTTTTTCAGAACGGAAGTTATAATCAAAAAAAACTTGGATAATTAAAAATTTCGTGAAAATTCATTAAAATCTCTGGAACTCGGAAACCCTTGAGATTTGGCATCCAGTCTGGAACTAATGTTCTGAATCACGCTGTATAGTTAATGAATTTATTCTTACTTACACCATATTATTCGTATTTTTGCTATTATATAAGCAAAAAATCCAACCTAATTTTATCAAATCAATTTTGTCCAATCGATAATTTTGCAGATAATTAAGATAATTTGAAATTTGAAACAAAGAGGTAGAAATTTTATAAATAAGGAACTCTAATGAAAAGACATACTTTAAGACAAATTCCATTGACTAAGGGGACATTAGGATAAAGTTTAAAAAAATTTATTGTACCATAAAAAGTAAATAAAAAGGGTATTAATATGTAATTTTAATTTTCAATGAGAAGATCTAGTTCTTATTTCTTATTAGATGTAAATAAATAAAAAAAAATTAAAGGAAATAATTGCTAAAATTTGCTAATTGAAACTTCGTACTTACCGTTTAGGAGAAAAACCAGATAAATAGTTGAAAAAAAAAAATTTGGTTCATGATAATAGTTAGTTACCGCAAAAAAAAAATCGATATCAGTCTGCGTTTTTGAAATCTCAGCTTTCACTAATAGCAAATTTTTAACAGAAGAGTGGTGTTGGTTTAATAAGAAATGTTGTTAAAATGTTTTTGAATATAATGTGCTGATTCAGATTTTGTCTCACTTTTTGATACAAGAGATTTTTCTCTTTGATTTGAAACTATTGCCACATTACTACATTTTCAAAAACGCACCTAATTTTAATAATTTAGATTAAGATTAAGAAATTTAATAAGATTAAGAAATTCGAGGAATTCCAAAACTTAAAACTTAATTTTGTGTATATATTTATGTCGATATGTATGTATATATATTACGTATAGACATATGTACACGACCTGTCTCTGTTTATGAACGATTGGGTTAATGCATTTATTCGGACTCACATCATTTTATTCATATTTTAACTATTATCTAAGCAAAATATACTTTTTATCAAATCAATTTTGTCCATATGATAAAACCAGGAACCCAACACAAAATTGTGTAAATTTAAAAATATTTTAGGAAAATTTTCAAATTTTAAAATCTGCATTAGAGTGTGTTTTGCAATTCTTTTTTGTAAATAGCTAGGTATTATATGCATTTTAATTTTAAATTTTATTTACTTCATTGTAGAATTTAAAAACTGAACATTATAAATTTTACCGTTTAACATAACTGGCAATGCTATATTATTAAAACCACTCAATTTTTTCAACCACATTAATATTTAAACTAAGTAAATTTATAAGCATTATCCTAAAAGTATGCAATTTTTTTTAAGCTTTCTTTGCAACATTTGAATACTACATGAAGGTACCTTCCTTTTATAATATTTAAAACAGATGTTAGCTACATCTAGCTACATAACAACTATAAAAATAAGAAAACTTTTACCACAAAGTTTTTTTTCGCAAATTTATTAAAATTTCATTTATAGTTTTTCATTTTTCTCGTTTTCACTCCCATCTCGTCTTTCCTTTCTTTTTGAAATATTATTTTTGATTTTTTAATAATGGGAAAAACTTTTTTTTATAACATTAATTTGGTGTTGAAAGGTTATAAAACAGAAAAAAAAAGAAAACAAAAAGAAAAATACAAGCAATAAAATTGCTTTCATCTTGAGAACAAAAATTCTCTTTTCTTCATTAATTTTCTTATATTCTTTTGAATACCTATTTCATGTTTTAGCTCCTTTCACCACGATTCCTATGTAATATACTCACATAATTTCCAAAAAGAAAATTGCAACATTGTTACACAATTCATTCCATAATAATTTTAATGTGGGCAATCACCTGTTTATAACCAACACCTAATATAAATTTATACTACTTTTACATACACAAATATACATACATAAATATAAAAGAGGGTAATGTAATTGGAATTCATGAAATCTGCACTTTATCTAATATTTTATACACTTTGCAAATAAATTAAAGAAAAATGAAAGACTAAGAAAAGAAAAACCGCTAAGGAGAACGCAAAAAAAAAACAAAAATTAAATCGATAAATGGAAATTTTTAAATGAACTTTAAATTATTTTCACCTTTAAACATTTTAAATTGAAGATTTTTTTTTTTAAATTAGATTTAAGAGGAAAATCATACATCTTATATGCTTGCATACAATTTAATTTAAGTGGTCAACGTATAAATTAGTTTTTTTTTTTTTTTTTAACACAATGTTGTCGACAATAAATTTTCTGGAAAGAAGAGTGAAGAATACAAGAAATGGGATGAAATCGGAGAGTAAACTACTTAAAAATCAAAGAAGTTTTACATTTCTTTTATCCTGTTTCTTATTTTTTCCTTTATAGCTCAACTTTAACTCTATTTATTCTACTTTTTTTATAGAAACTATGTAAAGAAAAGAAAATTTTTGTATTTTCTTTTAAAATTTGCTTTTTGATTCTTTTTTTGTTTTTTTTTTTATCTAAAATTGAAAATCTTTTCGATTAAATCAGGTGTTATGCAGAGCAGAGCTGCTTGCTTCTTTGTATTTGTATAAATTTAAAATGAAAGAAGAAAAAT